GGTACCTGGAACACGATCAGGACAAAAAGTTGGACTACGAAAAATAATATCATCCAAAACCATAAACAACCGCAACTAACTTATCGAAACATGGATCACCTCTAGCATTACAATAACATGAATATCCTAAACAAATTCATCTAAATTCATAACTAACTAACATCCATCATATCATAATTAATCTAAATGTCTCTAACATAACATAACTGCCACTATCAGCAATTCATTAAATACAGACATATAATTATTAACACATCAAAATCTAAACAATACAAAATTATATCATACCGAAAAATTTGAGTTTCTGTAACAATAGTTGCTGAAACCAGGCTGAGAAAGGGATTTTTTGCAAAAATTTGAGTAGAATGGGGCAGATTTTTTAGGCAATAAAATGGGGGATTAATTACTTATATGAAAACTAGATCCAACAATCACCGCAGGAGTCCAAGGCAGTGAACATGTTCATCGCAGTAGTCTAATGTTGTGAATGCTAAGTCGTTGTGACTTAATTTTTCACCTACCAGAGCTGGAAAACGTGTTAAACAATCATCGCTTTCCCCAACTGCGGTGATATGTTCACCGTTGCCGTCCAACGCGGTGATGTGTTCACCATTTGTCTTTATTCGGTGATGAGTTCACCGTTGTCTTCCAAAGCGGAGATGTATTTACCGTTTTTCTTTAAGGCGGTGATGCATTCACCGTTGTTGTCTTCGACGGTGATTGTATTCACTGTCTTCGACCACGGCAGTGATGGAGAAAACATGTGTACCTTGAGAATTTTTTTACAACTTATGTAATTAAAAAAAAAAATCAGAACTAGTGTATTTTGAGATTTTTTTCCTGGTATCCGACCAAGTTAACGTGTATTAAACTGATTCTCTGATTTTATGGAGATGATGTAGGTCTAATTTTAGAATATCTTATTCTAAGTTAACGTGTATTAAACTGATTCTCTGATTTTATGGAGATGATGTAGGTCTAATTTTAGAATATCCGACCAAGTTAACGTGTATTAAACTCATATTCAATCACGCTGAAAATACAAGGATCCAATACAATTTATGTCTTTGGGGCATGGTTGTCACGCCGGCCGGCGTGCCACCGGTTGTACCAGGTTCAACCGATACCGGTCATTAAACCGGCGTGACACCACCAGTATGACCGGCATGATCGATATACGAATCTCTAAGTAAAGTGACCTTATTTTAGCGAATTTAATTGATAAACATTATTTTATTATATATTTTATGAGTATAAAAGTTAAATATTGATGTTATTTGTTGGATTCAAGTATAAATGTTTAGGTATTGGCGTTAAATGGCATGTTTAAATACGAGTATTTATAATTTTATCAGTAATATTGACCGGCATGAACCGACACAACCGGTATGTGCCAATGGTCAAACCATTCCACTTGCTAAACCGGCACACTGGCATAAACCGGTTTGACAACCTTGTTTGGGGTTTTTTTTGTACTATGTTTAGGAAGACGTGCAATGGGAGGAGGTGCAAATGGGAGGGATAAACGCAGTTTACAACACATTTGCACCCGTTTAGTTGATTTGTAATAGTAGGGGGTCCAAAACGGGAGTGCAAAATTACTATTTTGACTTATCCCAAATTGGCGTGCAAGGGAAGGAAGAAAGAGGGAGGTGGAGGGGGAGAGGGAGAGGGAGAGGGAGAGGGGAGAAATTAACTTTTTAAACTTTTTATAATTGTATAATAATTAATATTATCAATTTATTTTCTTACAGTTATCATTAATGTATATATGCTCGGGGTTGACCGTTTGACTACGAGATTGGGGTGGCTATACGGTCCGGTCCGGTTAAATTGGACCAAATTGATCCGGTCCCAGTCCGGTCTTTTCGGGAATACAAGGACCAAAGATTGGATTGGATACACTCCGGTCTTGATCCGGTCCGGTCTTGACCCTGTCCGGTCCCAATTATATTTTGATTTTAGATTGAGCTTGTGAGGATTTGAGTGTTGGGGTCTCTTATCCGGTCTTTATCCGGATTTTTTTACCTCAAATCTAAGCCCGAATATTGTTTGCTATCCGGTCCCAGTCCGGTTTATACGATCCGGTTTCGGGTAAAACCAAACAGTCCTGGACCAAATTGCCAGCCCTACTATGAGAGCAAGTTTATCAATGTTCATCTAGTCAAATCGAGATCTCTTCGTTGACTTGAATTTGCGTTGAAAATTAGAGATAAGAAGTGGTTATGGAAAAGGTAGCGAGGAACGGTTTGGTTAGCTCAGTTTGCTTGACTAAATAGTTAAAACTTACCGATTCAAACGTGTTTAAGTAAGTTTGACCATATTCAATTTAAAGTAAATTATACACGAGAACTCCGTAGGATGACCAATTATGAGTTGGGCTTCGAGGTCGCTCGATCAATGATTATTACAATTGTTATACTTAATTATTATTAGAGTATTATTATATACTAATTATTTTATTAAAGTATATTTATAATTATTTATTTTATTATTTGTGATAATATTTTATAAATTTAATAAATATATTTTATAATAATATAATTACTTATTGTTTACTCTATTTGCACCCCCTATTTTGTCATCCAAACAACAATTTACCCCTCCACTTACACTCTCCACCAATTTGCACCCCCTACAATTTACCCTTCTACTTGCACCCTCTCGAATATCCCCCACTCATTGCCAAACATAGTATTAGAGTTCTTATGCCAACTCCAAGCATATAATTTTCAAATTTGATACCATCGTGCCATCTCCAATGCTAGGCAAAAAGTGTTCCCCCAATAGTAAGTCTAAAAGACCAAAAAAGTAAAAAAAAAAAAAAAAGGATTTGTAGACCCAAATTTGACCCACAAGTGTCTAGAAGAGGAGAGGGGCTCGCCACGCAGCAAGATCTTTTTTTGCCCGTCTGTATTAAATAAAATAAAATATTTATGTTTCAACTCCTAAATTGTGCACAACTCTTTCAACCACCAAAAATACTTTTCTCAATTTTCTTCACAAATACACTCTAATTTTTCACTTCTACTTCAACACTTCCAATTTTCCCCCTCCCCATCTCAAAGAATTTCCTTCTTCTTCTCATCAATAAAAAACTCCACTTCTTCTTAAGCTCTTGATCATGGCTCAAACTAATCACCCTACGAATTGGAAGGAGTCTGAAGATAAAATTTTATGCAAACCTTGGATTAAATTTTTTGGAGGATGGTTTCATTGCTCATTATCAATCCATTAATGAATTTTGGAGGCGCGTTGGAGTCGTATATGCTTAAAGGATGTGAGATTTCAAGAACTGACGGGGGCTTGATTTCACGATAGAAGATCATCCTTCATCAATGTATGGACTAATCATATTATCTCATAGTGAGAGTGTGCCTGTTTGCATATCCAGTAGATTTTGCAGTCTTATATACATAGGGCAGCGAGAATAATCCTATTATTTTGGGAAGATCTTTCTTAGAACCGAAGGAACACTAATCGAGGTGCCAGAGCAGCGAGTCACACTTAAGTCTTGTGATAAACTTCTCAGATGATAGTTAAGGGGCTTCACCCACATTTTTAGCCTACACAATGACGGAGCAAATGCCCTTTTAAACCCTTCACATGGTTTCCAAATTATATGAGGTAATCATGAACCTTCTTCCACTCCATCAACGAGGGACCTCAAGGGTGATCATGTTCAAGCATCTGCGAAATTTGGAAAGAAAAAATGAAGATGGAAAAGCAATGAAAACAAGAGTTTTACCCGAGTAAAGTGTTCAAAGGTTGACCTATAAAATGTTTTGAAAAGGAGGGATCCTGAAAGTGTCTTAAGCCACTCATGGATAAAGAATTTGTTTTTGGAATGTTTTGAGGCTATTTTTGAAGATCACATCTTGAGAGAAGTCTTGCATCACAACCTAGAGACTAAGGGTGGATGAGAACACCAAGCTCACCTAACCCTAACAAGTTGAAAGCGTCATGCGAAAAAGACCGAAACGATGCGGTTGTTGCGAGGCACCCCAACACTTGGGTTTGCTTTCTTAATTTTCTCTAGTTTAGAAATAAAAGTCTTTAAGTATCAGCATGAGATATAAGATAATCTAGGACATGTAGTGGTATTTTTGATTTTTTGTAATTAGCTTTCGGGACATAGTTTTGCCTAAGTGAATGAATTGAGGAATGAGAGGATTTGGGTAAACAGGTGGAAGATCACGGATCACTGAGTGAGAATATTCACGAGTGTGATTTTTCAAGTTGGCAAAACTATGAGATCACGACTGTGATCTGCCACCACTCAATTGCAATCTTACCTGTGTCCATATTAGAATATAGCAAAAACACACTGGTCATCCCAAACACCATCCATTGTATCAGCCTCCCAATTCTTGTGCTTTCCTCTTGAACCAAAACATTTCTTATTCTCCTACTTCCACATCCAGATACCATTTTCCTTGATTGAAGCAACCAACTCCTAAATCCTCTAAGGTTATTTGCTCCTTTGATCATTCCGCAAGTAAGTAGTTGTGGTTTGTTTTAATTTCGGAAGTGATCATTTCAAAGTTCATGAAAGTAAGAAGGACTTGAAACTTCATTTTATGATTAAATGGGTTATTTGAATTTGATTCTAGGTTAAAAGACCGTATTCCCTCATCTTGAATGCATTCTTGGGTCTTGCGGGGTGATTGTCAAGCAAAATCATTGTTTCCAGTATAGACCACAGACCAGACCACAGACTATACGGTCCAGTCCAGACCACGCCTGTGCGGTCTGGTTTGGTTTGGTCTGGTCCAGATAGACCACACTCAAAGAAAAATGAATAATTTGTTTAGTCAACCACAAAAAAAATTGAACCAATAACCAAGAAAAATAATTGTTATTTGCCTTAAAACATTAATCCTAACATGCATGAATAATTTTGATTTCCTAAATCTTAGAAATAAGAAAAATACAAAGTAAAAGCATACAAACTTGCACCATAACGTTATAAACATTAACATAATGTCATATGGAGACACGATTATCTCTACTCTCTGGTTAAATACTTAAATGTGGTTGTGAACGAAGGAGGGACGAGATTCTCAAAATTAAGGTTGAGATTTGGGTGTCGTTGTGTGAGTTGGGAGGGTGATCGAATGGGCTATTAACTCGTATTGACAAGTCGGTTGGGTCCACGGTTTGGTCCGGTAAACCGCGGTCTAGACCAGACCAGACCAAGAGATCAAAACATAAAATAAACCAAACTAGACCATACTTAACGGTCTACGGTCCAGACCAAACTGTGCGGTACAGTTTGGACCACGATTTTTCTTACGGTCTGGTCTATTTTCCCAGCCCTAACCGCAATGATGGTTTGATGTCTCCGAATCTCGAGGAAATAATTCTTGTATCCAACGGTTTCCAAGTGGCTTATACGACACTAATCCCAGCACTGGAGGCTGGAACGACCGAGCGAAGCAAGTAGCCCGCCCTCTGTTCCCGCCATAAGAGAAGACTGGAAACCGCCGGCAACAAGCCGAAACTGAACCGACGGAGGAATCAATACTCGTAGCTGGAGAGATGTGTGGTAGAACTCGCTGTACTCTAGGCGCCGCCGACGTTCCTAGGGCTTGCCACCGCACCGGCGGCCCCTCGCAGATGATTGATATTGACCGGTACTAGGCTCGTTTCCTCTCTCCTGTTTTCTCGATTTCTCTAGATTTCGTGGTCTGACCTCGGTTCTTTAACATTCGTTTTCAGGTACAGGCCGTCGTACAACGTTGGACCGGGGTGGAATATGCCGGTTGTTCGCCGGGACGTTACGTCGGACGGCGACGGCTACGCTGTTCACTGTATGAAGTGGGGATTAATTCCTAGTTTCACCAAGAAAAACGAGAAGCCTGACTTCTTTAGGATGGTAATTATCCGAATCTGCTTTAGCTTCTTTTCCCCCTCGATTTTGTTAGGCCGTTGTCATAATGGAACTCTGGTTAGAGGTTTGAGGAACTCGGTCTGTATAACCTAGTTTAACATCTACAGTTCTAGAAGTGTTCAGTGAATGTTAGGGGATTGGTTCCCCGAGTACTAGATAGGCCGATTCATTGCAGAGTTTCATATGATACCCTCGCCTTTGCTTTCATTGTTGCTTGATAATTGTCTCGTAACCCTACTTATAATCTGGTCCATCAACTATACATCATGTAGTTCAATGCACGATCGGAGTCTGTTGCTGAGAAGGCTTCCTTTCGTCGTCTACTTCCTAAAAACCGGTGTCTTGTGGCAGTAGAAGGGTATGTCTGAAATTCATGGTCCATTTTCTGCTTCATAGCTCATTCTCTTCGAGTCTTCTGCAGATTAGACCTCATCAAAAGCTCAATCCTGGCATGTTTCGGAACATTTTTGTTGTTATGACTTATTGAGTTTAAAATATGCTAGGGATGAAGTGGGAGCTCTCTCTGGCCTGCTAGGCCAGTTTGGTTAATGTTGTTACCTGTCCCTTTGTAACTTTGTTTGCTTTCATGAGTATATTGTGACGCTTATGTTTTAGTAAATCAATACAGAATTCAGAACCTTCTGTCACCATCATCGGTGTTGCTTAACATTTACAATGCATTGTGGCTTTCAACATATATTGCAGATTCTTTGAGTGGAAGAAAGATGGGTCTAAGAAGCAGCCTTACCACATTCATTTCAGGGATGGCCGTCCTCTCATATTTGCTGCTCTTTATGATTCTTGGAACAACTCTGAAGGTGAATACCTACCTTCTCTTGTTTTACCTTGAGATTGGCTAACAATGTAAAGTGGCTCTATATACATTCTTCTCTAAGGTTTTGTTGCTGCTAATGCCTTTTTAGGCTCCCTGCTTATACTGTGCAGCCTTTATGTTTTATCTTTTTTTCTTCTGTAACCATTTTTTTGCGCTTCGTTTACCATGGTTTCTTCTAGTTGAACTCCCGTTTTCTAAAAAGCAAAGTGAACATTGCTTGAACCTCTGGTAACTGAATCCGTTCATCGATTGACATTTAGCATTGCTGCAGGTGAGACGCTCTACACATTTACCATCCTTACAACTTCATCATCATCAGCACTGAAGTGGCTACATGGTAAGTAGTTTTTGTTTTAGGAAGATCCTCTTGTTTAAGTTTCTATTTAGTATAATCTTTTGTTCTGGTTCATATACTCTCTTGGAAGGGAATGAAGTATCTAATCTTTTAGTTGAAGAAACACATTTGAGATTATATAATTACAGGCTAGAGCCGCTTTCTGTCATATTAGAATGGCTAATGCAGTGTTGTAGGAATGACTAATGCTATGTTATTTTGGCTTGTGTTTGTTACATAACAATTAGCAAGAAACGTATTAGTTGATCTTTATTGCAGATAGAATGCCTGTAATCTTGGGGGATAAAGAGGCGACTGACGCTTGGCTAAATGGTGATCCTTATGATTCACTGCTCAAGCCTTACCAACATTCAGATCTGGTAACAACTCACATGCTGATTTAAACACCTCCAGCTGTTCAAACACCAAAACTTTAACACGGGGCAAGGCTATGACCCAGTTTCTTAAATCTTCCAGGTGTGGTACCCAGTCACATCTGCTATGGGAAAAATCGGTTTCGATGGGCCTGAGTGTATCAAAGAGGTTTGCTGCTGTTCAGAGTCTTCTGCAGTTTCACTATCCGTCGACCTGAGGTGCATTTGTGATGTTCAACTCATCGAAAAAGTGATTACATGAGAGCCTTTCTATTGTGGTTGCAGGTACAATTGAAGAAAGAGGACAAAGGCACCATATCAAAATTCTTTGTGAAGAAGGAAGTCAAAGAACAAGAAGATCCGGAACCAGAAGACGCGTGTAAGCCTCATGAACCTGTGAAGAAAGATCTCACAGAAAGCGTCAAGGAGGAAGTTGACAACGAAGACAAGTTAGACATTACACCCTCCCCTGAAGTGGCAGCAGACGAGGATATAAAACCGAGCGTCGCTCCTGCTGTAGACACTGCTCAGAAGTCTAAAGTGAAGCGGGAATTTGATGACTCCATTGATGAATACCAGACGATAGCAAGGACACATGAAAGCAAGCGGCTGGAGGTGGCAAGTCCGGCAGGGAAAAAGGCCAAGTCGAAGAATGATGGCGATAATAAACAGCCAACCCTCCTTTCCTTCTTCGGAAAGAAGTAGCCTAGTGATAACAAAATCTGAACTTGGCTTTTCGGCGGTGTACGTTTGCAATGCTTCATTTTGTGTGTGTGAAGAAGCAGCGGCATTGTTTTCTTGGTCAGCTGTTTTGCTTGCTTGCTGGGGAGTATTCCTGCTTGGCCGGCCGATCATGTTTGTAGTTTGACTTTCCTCCATGTATATATTAAGCGCATTTCACTTTCACTTTCATGTTTCACCAGCAGCATTTCTATGTATAATACAGTGCAGAATCAACAAATGAACTGTCCTGAACATTGTTTCATTGCTTCAGTCTCAGCTTCGCAGCAAACAAGCACACACATAGATCGATTGCATCGACTTAATCATTCGTTTCGTTCAAGAATCGGACAGGCTCCCATCTGACTTTATAAATAAGGCTACAGTCTGAGCTCTGATTTGAATTATAGTTCCTGGAGGTGCTAACCATTTCAAGCTACAGAATAACATGACCTGATAATTCTTAGCAGAATGAATTAATACTTCACAAGGTACTAGATAAAGATGAAGATCATCCATCCAATACATTATTCGCATAATCTCCGAGGTACAAAGTACAGGCCTATATGATTAAACCCTGAAGCAGTTCACTTCTATTCATCACCAAAAAATAGTTCTAAACTGGGGATCCAAACTTGAGATACTTGTACAATCGATGCAGATTTTATACGATGCACCATTGCTCCCTCACCCAGAAATCACTTGAACCCGAAAGCTAAGCTATGAGATTGCAGAAATCCAAAATGACGAAAAGACCTGAACTTGCACCACATTTCTTACTCTTCCTTGTCTCAATACATTCCCCTGCTGCTGTTGAGAATAGACCCAAGCGTCCCCAGAACAGCAAAAGCCAGCAGCGGGCTCACATCCAGGGTATCGAAAATGGGAGGGATGATATTCCTGAACAAGTTGAGATACGGGTCGCACAGGTCCCTTATAGCCGACAATGGCTGCCGCTCCCACGGGATGTTTGGGAACCAACTCAGCAGCACCCTCACCATCAGCACGCCACTGTAGATATCCAGCCACTTCGCCAGCCCCGCCGCCACCACGGTCAACGGGGTATTGAGATAACCGCTGGGGCGGTCCTTGAGCGCCGCGAAGAAGAGAGGGCCGGCGGAACGAACCGCCGCCGCTCCCGAGCCGATCGCACATCCCGGCACCAACAGTGCGAGCTTGTTGACGAGCAGGCGCGACAGGGACAAGGCTAGGGTTACGATTGTGGTGACCGTCCGAGTTGCTCCGGTGAGCGCGAGCTGGGAATCGGATGGAGGAGACAGCGTGGGGACTGGCGAGGATTGGGTGGATAGCGAAGCCAAAACCCTAACCCTGGGCTTTGGGGCGTTCGTTCGATGGGAGAGTGACAGTTTCGGGAGAAGAGGTTTCGGCAATGGTAGAGATGCGGAGGCCGCGATCCTGCCGGGCTGGTGCCTGTGGAGCGGAGGAGCTTGGAGGACGGCGCCGGTCTGTGAAGACAGCATAAGCGCCATGATTGATTGCCTCTGCTCTGCTCTGCTCCTCGATTTGGTTTTCCGGGGAAAATTTGGTATCAAGTTAAGAAGAAGAAAGAGGGGGCGCCGTTCCTGATAAGGCTAGGAGTCGGAGCGGGTCATTATTAATCCGGATCCGGGTCGGGTCGGGTTAGTCGCTCTCATAATTTTTATCGAACAAATATTATTATTTGGCCGTAACTTCACCCCTCAATGTTTCGTGACAAGCCAAATACATACCCCATAATTGTATCTTTATCCAATTTCGTACAGACTTTTCTTCCAGAGAGAAAAAAGAGCAGAGTGGACGAAAATTTTGTTGATTGATGACAGAGAGGAGTGATTCAGCAAAGAGGGAAAATTTGAGGACGTAAAAAGGGTAAACTGCGGAAATAAGCCTCTAAACAAGGAGAAGCGGCCGAATCTAAATCCATGATCATTCTCTTCAGCAGTCTCAGAGGAGCCGCCACCAATCCCCATTTTACCGCCGGCGGCCGTGTCCCCAGCCAGAAACCACGCCGTCGGCTACCTAGCCTTATGGTGCTGCCCCTCCGCCTCCTTTGCCGCCGCCGTGGCCGACACCAACCCACCAACACGCTGGAGCTCGACACCATGGAAACCGGCTGCGGATGGATCTCTTTAGTTGTGAGAGCGCTTCTTCTCTCTGGCTACTCTTTCTTGCTATGCTAGTCAATACTCCATAGCTCAATCTCTTTCTCCATTTATATTTGTTTGAATGCTGAAGGCTGATGAGGATGATGAATAAACAACGTTGGCTAATGATGGTGATCATAATGACAGCAATGATAGCCATTTTCTATGTTTGATTAAATATCTTTTTTTTTTAACTTATTTTCCAGAGGATAAAAATTAAAATAATCAAACAACTTTTGAGTGGGTTTAGTTTTGGAGAATTTTGTCAATCAACATTGTTCTTCTCAAGTTCATGCTCTATATTTGTTTCTATAGTGAAAATCACTGTCTCAGTTCAATGCATGTACATAATATGATTAGAAGAAGACATATGATACCAACTTCTCTATAATGTACCTTTTAAACATACAATTTACTATTGTTAATGCATCAAAAGTGAGAACAAGAGGGGATGATGTTTATGTTGAGTTACATTCGGTTACAAATGTCATTCTCATAGGATGCAATTTTTCTATTGATTTCGTCATCAAAATTACTGCAGGTAAAGTGATTAAGGCGTTGAACTCACTTGAGAGTGGTCTCAAATTCTTTCTCTAGTTAATTATGAAAGGTAGGGTTGGAACAACCCACTTGTATTAAGTGGGTTGATTGTGGGGATGAAAGGGAATCCATGCTTAATTAGTAGGTGCTAGTGTTTTGTTTTTTCACTAGGCAGTAGCTACTTTGGCCGTTGGGCTCGTGGTTAGCCGGCTATGATGATGATTAGAAGAGAATGGGGTGGTGGAATCTGTCCTTTTGTGTAGTTTATTGGGCTGTGAAGATGGGGAAAGGGTTAAAAAAAAGAATCAAAGGAGGTGGGTCGTCTAGTCCCTTTTTAATTTGCAGCTCAGAATGTGGGGATCGATACGCCATGGAATCGTAATCATGCAAAATCCAGACAATGATTGCACAAAATGCATTTGCTTCTTATGCTTTAGTTGTAATTATGTGTTTGTTATTCCTCCCACTTAAGATTTATGTTATTGTTAGCTCAATATATGGGATGTTTATAATATATAGTTCTGTTGTATTATATGTCTGCTGCTAGATGTAATAGAAGAATTTGGTTACAATACACTTGGACATATGTTTATATATCGCATAAACTTATTTACTCTTGTAAGTGCATATTTGTACCATAAGGCAACATTTGAAATCTTATGTTGATTATAAGAAAATCCCTCTAATCCACTTTACTTGTTTGGATTTCTACTTTTGTTGTTTTTTTAATGCAAGCATAAAGTTTGTTAACTCGGCTACCACTACAACTCACTCTCAATTATAGGCCAAGTGTAATCTATAACCGGGTGTAGCAAAAAGTAAATATTTCAAATATCAATATGGACAGACTATATTACCCTTACAAGCCAACTTAATCGATCTAATAGGAGGGACGTACCTCATACCCGCAAAAGAAAACTAAGGCAATCAATTCGACTCCCTCAAGATTAAATCGGAAGGGCGTAGAGTCACGAATCACAATGATTCATGGCACTCTACGATAATAGAGGATTGGCCCGGATTGCCTAAATGGATTTTCTTCCTCCTAGGTCAATTGTCCCAAAATTGGAAGATTTGATAAAGAACACCCAATTTGCATGAAAATACCTCAATCAATATATAAATCACAATACCTATACATAATAGAGTTCACAAACTACAAACTACAACATTCCTAAACTAGGGTTCCTATCATCCAAGTGACAAGGAAGACTACTCCATAGCTAGAAGAGACATAACAACTAAGGTAGAGGGAAAACCCATATAAAAGTGACTCTTCCTCTTCCTAGACGCTTGAATGGATCCTTGGAGTAGAAATCTTCCCACCAATTGCCTTGGGTAGGTCAATTTCACATCCTTCCCCTCCTTGCTTGAAGCTTTCTCTCTCTAAACTTGAAAAAGAACCCTTCACTCTCTATAGAACTCCCTCATTCACTTTCAGTTCACTGTCTTTTACATAGCCCTCGAGCACCCATTTCATAGTTGCACTTCACGCCAGTGAGGTATGCAATGAAACCATGATCTCAGCGCGAAACGCCCGTGAATTGCACAAAGGCTCCTGGAAGTGTGCAGACTTCACAGTTTCTACGTCGACATCACGGTCCGTGATAATTCCTCCTTGTCGTGATCCTTGCACTTTTGCCCACTTTGCTCCCTTTTTGTCTGAATTTTGATCCCGGTGCCAATTCTACCAGTACCTACTAAGGTATGAAACATGCAAAACAAGAGCAAACCTAGAGTAAAATAGGTCCAAGGACGGTGCAAACCAAGTCAAAAGACACAAGTCAAGGGGTTAAAAGTATGTAATCTATCCCGAATAAAACTCCCCGACAATTGAATGTTTTCTTGTCCCCAATCAAATCTAGTCAAACCAGTAAAACTTGTAGGAAAAAAACAATGGTATGCACTTTAAATCATCGGTGGCGCCTGAAAAACAATAAAAGTCAGGTAAACTTTACTTCCATCTCTTCGTGCCATGCATACTCTCGGTTGAGGATCTTGTTTACTAAGAAAATCTAGACACTTCACGTGTGTACTGGGGGACTCATAGAAAACAAGTGAAAATAAAAGGACTCCATGATGGTGCTCTTACTTTTTCAAAATAAGACTCAATTTTTGGAGCCTCAACTTAAACTTGACCGCACATGGCACCACACTTTGCAATTTAAGGCATCTCTCTCTCGTGACCAAGAGCGAAAGGACATTGCCTTCCCATTCACAGCTCCATGTGGAAAACATGATTGTTAGATTCATTGTCTGAGCACCACTTCTTAACATGCACTTCACGTCTCAACGACAGACGGGTTGCCACACATGTTGGGTACAAACAAGAGTCGAGGTCTCTTGACTCGCTTGAAGGCACACTATCTCATTACCATATGAGCAAGTGAGGAGGAGAGATGTTTGGGGGCATAAGGTAGTGAAAGATGATCGAGATGCTAGAAAGTTATCCGAACCCAAATGTGTCCTCAAATGGCACTCTGAAATGAGAGAAAAGCCCTTTGACGGTTTAACTCAAACACTATGCCCAATTGCCTCTCACGTGAGAACCTCATTTTTTCAAATAATATTTTTTTCAAATTCGAGCACCTTTTGCAAAACTTTTTGGAGTTCGAAATTGGGGAGTCCCACACACGTCCTAACCTCTATAACAAACATTTTCACATAATCGAGAGAAAATAGAAGAAAAGTCACTCATTATCAATAATTTTCGTAGCACCACACTATTCCCTATTATGCACATCATCACAATCACCAAACAATCCAAAGTACACTGAGCAAGATCATGCTTGGGACAATTGTGTTCAAAACCTCTAGAATCTTTCAATATAAGCTAGATACTAGGTTCCAAAACACATCTCAATATCAACCATTAGTCAATCATTAATGCACAAGTGCTTGGAGCCCTCAAATTGTAGAAATGTTGCAATCACAAGGCTACAAAACTTTACTTCCATCTCTTCACTCCAAGCCCAAAATCCAAGCTTCAATAGTGAAAACATAGCTAAAAATTGGTCATAGGGCTTCTTCTTCGTCACTTTATCTCTCTAGAACTTTGTTTTTGCGTTTAGAATTTGAATCCTCCCTCATTACACCCAAAATTGGGTTTAAAATCCCCCACTGCCTAATGCACGCTCGGCGCACGACCGTGCGCCTACCCCAATTTGCCCATGAAACCCCAAAACGCCGCATTCAACTAAGTGGCCCCCTCAATCTCGCACGGCCGTGCGAGGTGGGTAATAGCCTGTGCAGATCTTCCAGCTCCTCGTTGAACGCTCCAATATTGTCCAATTGTCCCCAAACTTGTTCCCGAGCCTTCATTCACGTACAAAGACCTAAAATCTCACAAACAAGCACACCCTAGCGTTAAATAGGCTAAGAACCAAGCAAATACTAAGCCATATGGTCAAGAAATGGCGAAAAAACATGTACAACCGCAATGTTATCATTTAGAATCTTAAATATTCATCTTCGAGGGCTTGATCTTTGATCTCCAATGGTGATTTGCACCTCCAAAATAGCTCCAAGAACCCTCTTAGGTCACTCTCTCTAGACTTGCACCTTGGGTGTTTTGGGGTCAAAACCCGTTGCTGTCAATTTATAGTCATAGTAGTAAAAAGATCACGATTTTGGAGTGTACTTCACGGCCGTGAACAGTGCAAAATGTGATCTCAACTGAAAACACACAGTTTTGTGCATACTTCACAGTTTTGTTGACCATGCCAGTGAGATGCACTATGGATGATGGAAATGCGTGTGTTTCATGGTCTTGGGGTGATTTTCACGCCCCCAAACCGTAAATATTTCACCCAGCCCGTGAACCATGCAAAACCTTCACTTTTTGGCTCGTTTGACCTTCGAATGTCTTGAAAAGTCCTCGAGCTTCCTACACATTCTAGGACCTTAAATGTGACAAAAGAAGCACAACCTAACACAAAGGGTCGAGGAACAACGATTACTAAGTCAAAAAATCAAGATACGAAGGGGTAAAACATGTACAAATTATCAAATACGCCTTAATCATCTTTCTTCTCAAGAAATCTTTGTTATTGGCTGCCATTTAAGTGTATATTTCTTCTGACTTCTCAGTAGCGCATTGATAGATGGTACCTACTGCCATTGGGTTGGCTTTTTTGGATGTTTTCTCATCAATACTTTGAAAAAGGAATGGGCATATTGCTCCTTTGTGAATCCATGATGAGGACATTCATGTAGCAGAAAGTTGAATCTGTCCCATGTCTTGTGAATTGGCTCTTGATGAACACTTGATATCTTTTCCTTGAGCTCCTCTGTCTTCTAGGGTGAAAATTATTCTTCCAGGAATGCTTGTACAAGTCCTTCCCATGTCGTGAATGTATTCATTGGGTGCATGTCTATCCAAACTCGAGCCTTTTTAACTAAGGAGAAGGTGAAAAGCTTTTGTCGTGCATTATCTCCATCTTCTTCTACTTCTACGGTAGTGCAGACGTCACTAAATCTCGTTATATGCTCCTTGGATCTTTGTCATCTTCTCCATCAAATTGTAGTGTTGAAGTCATCAATGTCACCTAATGGCTCTTGATCTCCACGTCTTTTGCCAAATAGATGTTGTTTGTCACAAACTTTGAAGCTTTAGGCAAAAAATGTTCGAACAAAGTCAACATGGTTGATTATCAAACTCCTCTCCTTGCTCCTGGAAAGAAAATAACAATTCGTAACATCCTTGAACAAGTAGTATCTTTCGAAAATCAAAAGTTCCCGTCGACAATGCCAAAAACTTTATGCAGAGAACACAAGTAAAAAAACCTAGATGTGACTAGGGTCATATTGCACCTGGTATTTTGATGGTAGTTACTCAAAACTAGATGCTCAAGTGATTGAATGAGATGACAAAAAGTAAAATCAATGGGTTGAGGTTCCGTAAAACTTGACTAGATTGTAGAATTTAAAGACAACAAAGTAAATGAGAGAGTAAACAAGAGAGAAACAAGTTGTTCATGTTGTAACATCTAGATGAGTATGAATACTTTCTCCTAAACAAGATGTCTATGACTATATGCATCGATGTTGTGTTGACATTCTATCTTTTCCTCCAAGGCCATTCCCTCCTCTTGCATGTCCACTTGCGCTAGGAACCTAACTTGCCAATGTGTGCATTCGCTTCATGCAACCAACTAAGTAATTAAGATCAGGAAAGTAAGGATAACACATTGTCTAGGGGTGGAGGTTCGGTTACCGGTTAACCGGTCGGTTAAATCAATAACCGGCCAGTTATCCACTAATCGGTAACCGATATAACCAAAATTCAGTCGGTTATCAGAGGCTAGACGAGATGGTTTTGGTCTTGGAGGGGGCTCGATTAATCGATAACCGAGATAACCGAGATAACCGAGATGACCGAAGCCTATTTTGGGCAGTTGTCGGTAAGGGGGACGGTTGTTCGGTTAACCGATAACCGACCGATCGGTTACCGGTTATAACCAAACTAACCGAAACTCCACCCCTAACATTGTCAATGTGAGATTCTACAAACCTTGACGATGGTCTATTGTATTGGAAATCTTTAGGCATCAAGCATCATCATAATTAGAATACTACAAGGTCATACTTCCCAGCTAGTACACGCCTAACAATGATGCCTACTACTTGGGATTAGTTTCCTTGTTTCTCCAAGTAGTAGTATAATCAATACATATAGTAATGCGTAGGGATGTTGATGAGTCGAGCCGAGTCGGACTTTGCCATAGTTCGCGCTCGGCTCATTTAAATATTTTCAAGCTCGAGCTCAGTTTGAGTTCGTCACGAGCTTTAATATGCAAGCTCGAGCTTGTTTGTGAAAATGAAAGCTCGGCTCGCCAAATAAGTTTGACGAACGAAAAATCGCGTTTAGCTCATAAAATGTTCATGATAGCTTAAAATTGAGCTAGAACCGAGAACAAAACTAAATTCAAACCTATAGCAAAGCCTACCAAGATAAAATACAATGTGTTCCTAATTCAAATGGCTAAAGTCCATGAATTCCAATCCTTTCTGATGCCAAACCGTTAAATGAGCTTGTTCGCAAGCTTTTAAGCTGAATATAGTGTGGCTAGATTTGGGCTCGTTTAGTTCACGAGCCGGCTCAATTAGAAGAATCGAGTGTCGAACGAGTTTTTCTAGAGTCGGGCGTTGAGTCATTCATGAGCGGCTTGGATCATTAACAACCCTAATCGTAACATGATAACAAGCATACACAAAACTAAGCCATCGAGGCTCCAAGAACGAGCTTGTTCACGAGCCGGCTCGATAAGACGAATCGAGTGTCAAACGAGTTTTTCTAGAGTCGGACGTTGAGTCATTCATGAGCGGCTTGGATCATTAACAACCCTAATCATAATATGATAACAAGCATACACAAAACTAAACCATCGAGGTACCAATAATGAGCATTGGTGTTTTGGTGCATCTTATTACTCATAAAATATATTACATCACATCATCAAATCAACATCCAAAACAACAAAGAATTAGCTGACCATGAGAGAATAAGAAGGAGTAAACTAAAAAATGATTCGTTCTCTCATCACTCCGACAAAGTTTCAGTAAGTCTTAAGTTGTAAAAGGTACTTTACATCGGAAGTCTATGCACCTATTTATTGTACAAGAGAGATGGGGGTATAAAGAGTATTTCCCTCCCAACACTTGGCCTATTCCTTCATTATTTGAATTAAAATAAGTTTTCATCCTTGTCTTGATGAATTAGACTGCATAAGAAGTTTTCTTGTGGCCTAGGAATATCGGTGGCACAACATTATTTGGATCCGCCACCCTATTTCTTTTTGGAGTGGGCTCTTTGGCTCATGGACTTCTTCTACTGTTTTGGGAGAAACTTGTGGCAGCGGCGCTAGACCCGTTGCTTGGGCCTCCTCTCTTTCCTTCATCAAAATGGGTGAAGATTTCCTCTACGGAGTCGTATTCACATAATCTAACAACTTCTAGTTGACTCCCCCGTCATTGGACCACTATGTCTTCTCACAAACTCATTAATCTTGTCTTTGTAGCTCATTTGGTCCTCCGGAATTCTTCAATGCTTGATCCATGTGTCCTTAGGTCGCTTTGTACTTTCAATACAAAAAAAAAACATACCCAAAGGCATCAAAGAGTACAAGATACAACCTTGATCTCTCAAAAGCTCATTGACAAATATAAACAAGAAATATCGTTGAAATGACTAAAGTGTTATCACTATGCTTTATGCTATTATGTTTGGTTTGGAAGCGAGAGTGCTTCTGGGTGTGGTGTCTTGTTGGGTTTGCATTAATTGTTTAGCTCTCCCTGTTGGGTTGTTGCAGAGAGGTGTGATTCACTCTGCACATTATTCTTTAATGTTTTTTTATCTCTCAAGCATGGTTTGTTCAACCAAATGCTTTGAGATAGCTTCTCTTGATTTTGTTTCAGATATTAACTCGCTAAAACATAACTACTAACAATGGCCAAGTGTAACCAATGAAAGGGTCTGTAGTACAGTGGTCCAAGTAATAAATATCGAATCCTCGGGTCTCTAGATGTACTATTACTCAACTTCAGTTCATTATCTAGCAAATCATATTGAGGTTTGATTAACTAAACTACACTATAAGCTAAACTAGGTTAGACTACTAATTACAGGTTGGGAACTCACTTAGGTATGATTCCCCCTAGTCACTAGAAAGATTAATGATTGATGATCTCTAACTTGTTTCACTTTCATTCATAATGTGTAGAATCCTTGATTGGACCTTGAATCTCGACTAAAGAAGTCAAGGCCCTCTTGAGTCGATTGCCTAGAGGAACGTATCCTTCTTTAGAACAACCGATCAAGGCGTTCTAAACTAGTCTCCCTCTATCGAATGAGGTTCTCAATCGATACAAAGCAGTGAATCGACCCTCGACTAAAGCAATCGATCCAATACTATAAATCTATGGTGCTCTATTGACCTAATCAGGTATTCGCTCTCATAGGACCAAAGCAGAATCAATAATCTCAACTAAAGCATAATTGAATCATGAAAACATGCATAGATTGAATATGAACTAAAGATTATCAAGTAGGAGTACTCATACATTCAATCCAATCAAACAAACATAGCTAGGGTTCTACAAAACCTAAGTGAAGAGAAGTTACTCCATAGAGAATAGAGAGACTACAGTAAGAATCTTCAGATGATCAGTCTTCAAGTTCAGGCTTGTTCCTCGAGCTTCCAAGGCTCCAAAAATGCCCTCAAATCGTCCTCTCACTCTTTGATTCGTCCCTTGTGTGTCTGGGAATCAAAACACAACTCTCCCTCTCCAAAAATCACAAAACAACTTTTATACCCACTGAAATTCGCACCCCCGACTTGCCCGGCCGTGCAAATTGAGATTTTGGTCGTGCAACTCCCTGGAAAACTCGCACGGCCGTGCACAATATTACACGGCCGTGCACAATTTACAATATGCACTCCTAAGCTTCGTTGGGCTCGTTTAAGCTCGTTTGACCTTCGATTCAGGTATCGTTTGATCCCATATGCTCGTAGCCTCGTCCTCTTTCTTTTCATGACAAGTTTACATGATTCTTTGTCAATAAAATGAGGTAGAAATTCATTCTTCCTTTGGTCATCCCCGAGTTTCTTCCCTCGAGACGCCAATTGATCTCCGATTGACTTGAAACTTGCGCCTATGCTTCACTTTATGTACTAGGACCTGAAATGTGACAAATGAATACAACCTAGCATAAAATAGACCAAGAAACGATCAATTGCCAAGTTAAACGATCAAGAAATGAAGGGGAAAACATGTGCAAATATCGAGTCATTAAATATCATTGTTTTGTCCCTCTTTGTAACAAATCTTTCATGGTGCAATTCAGGTGATCATTTGTAAAACAACACAATAATAAATATCACTAATAACTGTCTTAGTTTGAAAGGTAGCTAAGCAATAAGTCAATTACAAAACTATCCCCTGCATTTTCTCTCTGCTTTTTACTTCCTCTTATTAAATACTACTTTGACAAACAACACCGAGAAAGCAGCTTTTACTTCATCCTGCTTCTCTGTCTTTTGCTTGTGCTGCTCTATTTCTGCACCTCTGTAGTAGCGGTGGCACCCATTTTTTTCTTGCTTTTGTAGTCGTTGGTGTAATCGATGTCAGCAGGGTACTTAATTGCATTAAGCTGGAGCTTACGGAGAGCAGCTCTCCCCAAGTCAATGCCACAGACATCAGAGAGCCTCACAACGTTGAGCAGCACGTCAGAGAGCTCCTCCCCAAGATGAATCTTTTCCTCTTCCTTCCACCCTGGCAGTCCCTTCTCCACCTCCCCCTTCCACTGGAATATTTCTGATAGCTCCCCAACTTCCCCAACCTGTACAAAATTCCACCATTCTCATTCATCACCACGCAACAAACAAGCATACTGGTGTAAAAAATCACTGAGATCAATGACCCAATTTTCCTAATATGGGGTTGAATGAGATATGACATAAGAACATATGAAATGCTGGTGGATGGCATATCTCATTGGTGCAGCGTGATCTGAAAACATCAACCCTAAGATGATAACAATATAAGTACTGTTTTGGCCCTAATAGTATTACTGTTAAATTAGCTTTCTGATGACACGACATCACAGCTGGACGACATGCAACTCATATACGATACATCAGAAGAAGAAAGGAATCAAATAATAGAGAGACAGGGGATCAATTGAGAAACCATATACCAGACACAGGAGGACGTTTCTGGGGCTGTGAAATTGATCCCAGTCCCTTTCCTTTGCAAACTCTGCCAATTTCGTCTTCAGAAGATCGATGGACACGCCGGTGCTCATCTCCCCAGCTACTTCTGCCGCCTCTCCGGTCATCGCGCCGTTGGTCGCTTTGCCACAACACTCGTGGTGACTGTGACGCCACTAGGCTTAGCTGTTCATTAAACCTTTTTTTCCCCCCTTCTTTCTCTTCTTCTGGCTCTGGGATAGAAAGATAGCAGCGGGCGTTGCTTTCTTTATATATTATTAGAAGATGAAAAGCGGCAGGGTGGTTGTTGAGAAAACTATGGAAATTACATAAATAGTGAAGGCATTAATGACAATGGATTTCTTTTCCAAAAGGAAAAAAATCTAGTAAAAAAAAAGGAGAGACATGCATATGGGATTTTATAAAAAAGTTGGTAAATTAATAAATAAATTATAGTATATATACGATGTTTTCAAACCTTATCCTACGTCCAAATAAACTTTATGTTTTTTTTTAGAAATAAATCTGCTTATATTATTAATTGATTAAGTTTAAACTCTTCACTCAGAAGTAGGGGTGGACAATGAGCGGGTTGGGTGGATTTTGGTCTAAAATTGACCCATCCGCTTACTAGCGGGTTGGAATATATGTGACCCGCAATCCACCCACATACTTATGCGGGTTGGGTTGGGTGAGTGGCGGATGGGTGCGGTTGGGTCGCGGGTTAACCCGCAAAAGCAATTCTCCAACTAACCATTAAAAAAATTGACTAACATTTATAATAAGTTCATAGCACATTAGTAAGATTGTATCAATAATTTGCGATTTAGATACAATTAATAATTTATAGTTTGTATCCCAATATTTAATGGATACTAACAATAATTTGCATACCAATATCCATTGCAAATGGATATTGCACAACACAATAACCAATAATAGTAGTAAAAATTATTCTTTATTCTCCACCTTTTGCAGTATATGGTCAGACTGTAGTGCATTTTGAAAATATAATGAATATTGGATACTATAAGAAACAACATTTTTCCATGTAACAAATAGAATGCGGGTCATAAGAGTGACCCGCAATCCACCCACATAATTGCGGGTGGGAGATTTAACAATTCGCAATCCACCCACATCAATCACCTATTACATACGGGTCGGGTTATTTGCTGATGGATCGATATCAATCCGCGGATTAACCACCTACGTGCCCAACCCTAGTAAGAAGAGAAACCAAGAATACTGGTGCTCTATCCACCCAACAGGCCAACACTCATCCTTCTCCTAATTGCAAACTACATGAGACATACAGTGGGCTAACTTATTATGGGCTCGTTTCACGAAAACCCATTCGATCTTGGAGAAAGACTGGCCCAATTCTCAACTTTTTTTTTTTTTTTTTGCTATTTGGCCCATTTCAAGAGAAGATTCCGCCTGGCCTGTAATCAATCATGTCACCACCTGGCAATCTGTCTGAATTGAGATGGGAGGCAATTTGCCATTTCCATCCTGAAGATCACCGTCATAGCCTCTGCCTCCGCTGCTTCCTATAGTTTCCGGGTGCGTCTCACGGCCGCCGCCGCCACAAATCGACCGTCTTTTCCACTGATTACAGCTCCCATCCCAGTTCCTTGCCGCGGTAAAACAGCCTGCATCAACCGAGATCGTGAAGTCCACGGTCTGAGATGGTCTCCAGCCTTCGCCATTTCTGATTTTCCGGCTCGATTTCCTTCTTCTGCAGCTCCAGATAACCAATCTTGTGCTCTAGCTATTATCTCCCATTCTTCCAGTTTTCGTTTAATCCATAGTTGACTGTTTGTCTGTTCCCAAATGAACCATAGGGCGACTAGAAATCTCCGGAGCTGTCTGTCGTTCTCCGTCTCTTGCAGGCTACAAAACCATTCCTCCAGAGGCGTATCCAGGACACCCCTAAATTTTGGAAGATCGATTATCCAACTTCCGGTGGTAATTTACCTATGGAAAAAAAATAGTCCAGGACACCCTGAAATTTGAAAGATTGATTATCCTACTCTCTTTTATAGTTTGGGTATGGGAATATAAGTGGTAGTTTGGGTAATTCAAACCTGGGACACTACTATTACTAATAAATATAATTTTCACTAGGCTACAACTTTTGGTTGTTCTATTCTAAACACTGTGTAATAGCAAAACCTTATTCTCTATCTTTAATTATTTTCAATACCTACAATTAATCTAATTACAAGCTACCCTTAATTTGTATTGATTTTAAGGTTGTACGAAAAGTGTTGAAAGTGTCTTTTTAGCTTTGCATCAAGAACAAATTTAGAAGTCAAATATGCTTCAATTCTTGAATGATTACCGAGACAAATTTGTCGAGCAATGTAGACACCAAGTGTATTTTATAATTTTCTTATAATATGAAAATACATCATTGACTTTTTTTAACTTATACGAGTTGGGTATTTTTTTTAAATTAAATAATCTTTATTAATTATTTAATTTTTATTTTACTTTATTTTTTAAAGAGGACACCCCTATGCAAAATTCCTGGGTCCGCCACTTCATTCCTCACAGGTAAGATTCCCCCCTTCTCGAACAATAGATACATGTTTGTAGGTCTAGTTACCCTCCGAACCCATGCGCAATCCTTGAATACGTTTTCTTGAGTCTCTGGTAGGTCACAGAATGGACAACCCACACGACCCTTCTCTGCTCTTTTGAAAATCTTGACCCTTGTAGGAAGAATATTCTTGATCCACCTCCATGCAAACAATCTCACTTTTGGAGGTATCTGTAATTTCCAGACACGATCCCAATTAACTGGCGTATATAGCTCTCCCCGTTCCTCTTCCTCTTTGTTCTTCCAAAGTTGAATGTTGACTTTACAAAATAGTCCCCCGAGGTTTCCAAGCTCCAGACCCTTTCATCCCTACATGGTTGCCTGGGAATTGGGATCTAATGTAACTGTTCCCTGTCCTCTGGGTGGAAATAGGTTGCAACTGGTCTTGTCTCCATAGTCTCAATTCTAAATCCATTAGCTCAACAACCAAAGTAATGTTCCCAATCCTTAAGACTGATGATTTCACATTGAAACCCTCAGTATCGGGATCCATTTATCCTGCCAGATATCCACAGTATTTACATCTCCAATTCTCCATCAACAACCTTTCTTGATAAGTTCCTTAGCCTCCATCAGTCCCTTCCACATGTAACTCGAGTTTCACCATTTTTCTGCCTCCAAAACATCCCTACGTGAATAATATTTAGCCTTCAAGAGAATCAAGACACGAGTTGCGATGAAATTTGGTTCCTTTAGCAATCTCCACAAGTTTTAACCAAGTAGGGCCATATTGAAGCATTAGAGATCACGAAAACCCAACCCTCCTTGCTTCTTTGGTCTGCTGACCTCCTCCCATCGTAACCAATGTGTACGTTTTTCATCCTGCTGTTGGCCCCACCAAAAATTTGAAATCAGTTTTTTGAATTTCTTGTAGCACACAAACAGGAATTTGAAACATTAACATTGCATAGGTCATTAGAGATTTGGATAAAAAGGTAAAAGTAGAGAGAAGAGAGAACAACTATGTTGGGGAAGAAAGAGGAAGAAGAAGTTAAATAACTCTTGGACTTGTGTGGCCGAAAGATGAGAGATAAAAGTAAGGGATAATAACTTGAAATAAAAAATAAGATAATAAGAGCCACTTTTCTCGTAAATAATACTATTTTTTATAAAAAAAGAATACGAATATGATATGATGTAATTTCATGTTATAAAATTTTCCTTGTTAGCTCTAATGATATTACCGATGAGAATAAAGGTTGGGGGCGCCATTTAAGCGCTTCGTTTTCCGACAAAAAAATGATATTACTGATGATATAAACAAACATGTATTAATTTAAAATTAATTTAAATTTAAATTTTATTAAAAATAATATAATAATAACGCTCTACTCACGCTCTCATATTGAATTCTTTTAGAATAGCCGCTCTTACGCTCTCGTTCTCGCTCTTGCTCCCGCTTTCGCTCCGCGAACTGGTTACCTAAGGTTAACCCTTCCCCATATATTTAAAACAGAATGAGTGGCTGGCTACTGCCTGTCCCATCTAGATTTACCATTTAGGCAATGAATTAATTGGAATTTGAGGCATATGATTATATTCTAATCTCTAATTGATGAACCGCAATCTCTAATACTCTATCACAAACAACAAAATTCATTAAAATCTAAAAATAGTAATCTACGATTCTAATGGAAATATATCAAGTACATATAATAATTAATTGTATGTGAATGTGAACATAACACACTGATTTATATAACACGCACGTGTATTTCACATCACACACATATATATTCGATTTGATTCCCTTTCACCCCTTTTCCATCACTTAATTCCTCTTTGGCTCTCGCTGCCGTCGTTGAACTTCAACTACACATGGATTTGCACATTTTCCATAAAATAAACGATCCACCAGACCGCCACATCTATGTCCAGCTACCTGGTAGTTGAATGGTAAGTTGTTCATCGGCTCAATAAAAAACTAGTCCGTAGATTCTGAAATTCATTATTCTCTTGCAGAAGTTGCAATACTAGCTTTATACCAAGTTATGAGAACTAGCTAGAACCAAATCTACTAAACCCTAAAGGCCTAAACCATTAGCTGGACTGCTGGAGCTCACTCGCTAAATTTAGTTGGTGGAATGGTAACAAACCGACGACTCAAATTAAAGTTATCAACAGATTGACTGAGAAATAAGGCTTTTCTATAGTAGAAGCTGTTCACACTAGCAGTACTACTCCCACCTCCATAAATGGAAAGCCGGATAGAAAAGAGAAGATGAGATAGTCTCAAGGTTGTTAAACCCCTATCGAACCCCCCGGTTGGATCCGGTTCAACCCGAGTCGGGCTTCAAAACGGCCTCCAGAAAACCCCCCGGTCTGACCCCTAAACAGGGAGAAGAAGAGAGGCAGAAGAGAGGAAAAAGAACGAAGGAAGGGAAATGGTAGGGGGATCATGGAGGTTAGGTAGATTTATTTTGTTGAAAATAAGTTTTTAATAGATATATGTAAGATAAATTTTATTTCACTCATTAAATTTTTAATTACTACTTTATTTGTATATATATATTTAGAAAACGTCTAAAACGGCTCAAACCGGCCGGACCCCGATCAGACCATTAAACCTCAAACCCCTTACTTGACCGGCTCAATGACTTAAACCGATTTGACAACCTTGGATAGCCTACAATGTAAGCTATGGATAAAAAGGTACGCTGTTGCTGAAGATATGTATCGGGCGGGCGGGGACGAAGGATCCAGAAAGAGCTAAAAGCCAAAAGCAAGGGAAACAAACAACCCACCACCCATATCTCTCCATCCTGATTCCTGATTCGACTGAGCTTCTTCTTCTTCTTGTCAAACTCTAATAAGTACTACTACTACTATATTCTTTTCTTCCTTGTCAATGGTACCCTCATTAGATGCGATGAAGGAGAAAGAAAACAGCAAAGCTAAGGGAAAGCCCATCCCTTTTAAAACATTGATCTGAATACTTTCTATGCAGGAAGAAGAACATACATATATATATTATATAATACGGGTTCATGAGACCAGCAAGCTACCACGTATCACGTGTGCCTTACAAGGCTAATAATAATATTAGCAGTAACTAAGACACTAATCACCTACATAATACATATATAGGATAATTTGCTAAGCATAAAGCTTCCTGACTGCATGTTCCTTGGTTTTCTTCCCTCTTGATACTCAACACAAAACTGAAAGTGCTAAGCTTTGGACTTTTTGGTTTATTGGCTGCTTTTTTTGGGGGGGATTCCTGGAAATGAATTCAATTCGGAACTGCTGCTTCTGCTGCTTTCTGATGCTCCTTTTCAGTTTTGGTGGCACCATTATTAGTGCTGCTGTAATGGTTGGTGGCAGCAGTAGCAGCAGCAGGGTACTTAATGGCATTAAGTTGGAGCTTGCGGAGAGCAGCTTTGCCCAAATCAATCCCGCAGATATCAGAGAGCCTGACAAGATAGAGCAGCACGTCAGAGAGCTCCTCCCCAAGATGAACTTTTTCTTCTTCCTTCCAGTCCGGTAGCCCCTTTGGCACCTCTCCTTTCCACTGGAATATCTCCGATAGCTCCCCAACTTCCCCAACCTGCACACAGACAGAGTAACAATCACTGTGACTAGAGGGAGATAATCAAATCGAAAAGCTCGATGAACAGTGGTACCAAATCTTTTCTACTGTTTTTGGCTTTCATGGGTTCATTCTATTTTCTCTTCTCTCTCTCAACATTTTTCTTTGTTGGGTTGGAAATGTCTCCTTCGGTTCCTTTTTGGGGAGTGTGATGGTGGGTTCCCTCTCGCCCCAACACAAACAGACATTAAAAGGGTAAAGGGAGAAGTTTTGACTAAAATGGATTCTCCGCCATAGCCGCCGCCCTGCACTCACCACAATCTAGCTTTAGCTTCGCATCACCAACCAACCCAAAACCCTAACTGGGGATTTAAGCAAGGGAATTTCGATTTTAAAATGTTGTAATCACAATCACCAGCCCACTTGAGGCCAGGGAGCGAATAAATTAAGAATGCCCCACAGGCCACAACCCCAGAAATCGTGGACGAGAGAATATCATCCGAAATTCCAAAATCCAGCTGTGTACTATAATCTGGTCAAACCACAGAAAACAATAACACCCACCACGCCAAACACAAAAAAAGATAAAAAGAAAAGGATAGCTAGAGAGCGAATATCAAATCATGGACCTGCCCTGACAGCCTCAATGATCGAAAGAAGAGAGGGAACCCGTTGTAGATTAATCAATAAATAAATAAATTGAGGGAAAAAAACGGCGGAGAGGGGAAAAACGGAAAAAAGGTAGAGATCAATCGAAGGGTGCAAAATTGGGGAAAGCATTACATACCAGAGCCAAGAGCAGGTTCCTGGGGCTGTGGAAACGATCCCAATCCCTTTCCCTGGCGAATTCCGCCATTTTCGTCTTGAGAAGATCGAGCGACACACTACTGATCTCCCCTGCTTCCGCCGCCGCCGCCGCCTCCCCCGTCATTTTTTGTGATCGCTTTGCCGAAAGAAACAAGCTAAGGAGAGAAGCCAAAACCCCGAGGAAGATCTCCTAAGGGCGAGGCGAATGAGTTTTGATGCGAGAGAGAGAGAGAGAAGTGACAAGAGTAGTAGGGTGGATTTCTGTTTTGTTTTGTTTATATAAAAGAAAGAGAAACAAAAGGAGGGGTAGGGGATAGCGACGGAAAGTAGAGACGACGACGAGGGGTTGCTTTGGAAAGGGAAAACAAAATTATTATTGTTATTGTGTAAGTGGTCCGGTACTATGTGGTATGGTTCACCGTAAACCTCTGTACCTTTTCTTCTTTTTCCTTGCAGTTATTTTTTTTGGTTAATACAATATTAGTTCAAATTATTAATGAGCGGGAAAATATAGTAACAACTATGAAAATTCTAATTATTAGTCAGAATTACTGTTACGTGTAAACGAATGGCTAACGGTCTGTTACCGTTGTTAACTTTGTAAATGGAATAGCACGTATCACTTTCAAACATAAAAAAACAAAAACTGCAGGGTCAAAGCCCTGTTTCCCCTCGTCTTCTTCTTCTTCCCTCCTCCTTCTGAACGAAACCCTCCGCCTCAATTCCAGCTTCTTTACCAATTCGTGGAACTCCCTTCTCTTTCCCCCAAAACCAATAATCGAAATCTCTTCCTCTTCGTCCTTTTCCTTTTCATTGTCTTGTTAATCTAGCGGCCGCTCTCTCGCAGTTGATTTGATTTACCGGTGAGATTTGGTAAGAGAATAATGCAAAAAAATCAGCTATTGGGTCTCACTTCTTCAGTCTCGTTGAATCGCTGACCCACGAACCAAATCTTTTAAAAACCGCACCTCTAAGGTGCGGTTTGATTGTGAAACGCATCCCCTGGTGCGGTTTGTATGTAAACCGCACGCCCAAGGTGTGATTTAGCATTCTGGGCCACAACCGCATCTTGGCCATGCGGTTCTGGGTCTGACCTAACAGAACCGCATGGCCTAGATGCGGTCTTGGGCTGACCTAGCAAAACCCGCACTTTGGGGATGCGGTTTACATACAAACTCCCTCTCCTTGGAACCACTCGTATAATGAGTACATACCGCTTGAAATTCATCATAATAAACTCCCTCTCCTTGGAACCACTCGTCCATTTTTCCGAAAGTCAGACAGAAATTCGGCGGGTTTTGAGGGAAAAACCAAAGAAATGTTTTCTGATGGCAAATCGGACTTAGCCGCAACCAACAGACCACTATTTCCTAGCCTTTTGGGAGGGGAGGGGAGGGGTTAGAGAGATAATTTTAGAGAGAGAGTGAAGAATGAGTTGTGGTGTGAAGAAATGAGAGGGGGGGGAGGGGGTATTTATACTATTCAGACCGCACCCTCCAGGGGCGGTCTGGTAATTTTGCTCCTCCTGAAAACGCACCCTCCCGATGCGTTCTGCGTTTCTCGAGGTGATGACCGCACCTGCAGGCTGCGGTCCTCGATCCATGGCGCGGATTGCTGAGGTGGCGTGCGGTCCGCCGTTGTATCACCACCTCATCCAACGGTCTCCAAGGCCACAGACGAGGAAACACAAACCGCACTTGCCTAGTGCGGTTCCCAGGCTGACGTGGCACGAAACGCACCTCCAAAGTGCGGTTTATACATAAAACGATGCTATTTTTGTAATTTTTATAGGCTGGGTGCTATTTTCATTAAATTTTTTAAAAGATGCTATTATTGGAAAAGCCCCACGTCACAGCTGGGGAATCTGGGTTCCCGTTTGAGGGCGGCGTCAAGTTTCGGTTCTCGGATTTTGGAGGCGGTGCGGCGGGTGAATTTGACTCAGACGGAGCGGCAGGAGGTTCTTTGGCGGTGGCAGGCGATTTCAGACGCGCAGGAGGTAAAGCGCTGGCGGATCTAGGCCGAGGAAGAAGAAGAGGGAGCGACACCATTTATTTAATTTTCTTTCATTTTCTTAATTATTTAATAATTTATTTTTCAAATTAAAATTAAAAAATATGATATGATGAATGGTCATGTGGGAGCCACCACAGCTTCGTAAAGTTTTAGTCAGCACTACTAACATAAAGTTAATGTTTAGCTAATAATTTATATTTCAATAATTGTGCCTATAATTTCTCGTTGCTTAATAATTCTCGCTAATATATTGTATTTTTTTTATTAATCTTCTTCATTCCGTTCAATTGGCATGAGTGAAGGGGATACCGTTTCTTTTCATTCCTAAAGTTTATCAATCTATTTTTAAATACTGTATTTCTAATTTGGAAGTGTGCCAACCCGTTTTGATCTTGACCCGATAAGAAAAACGTACCACACACACTTGTGGGCCGATCCGCTACAAGGTTATTAGGTTGGAATTTGGAAGTCACACGACGTCATTTTTTCTTTAGTTTGTGAAATGCACCTCTTTTTCAAATTTTCTTTTCACCTAACTCTATCTTTTGAATTCTAAGTTGAACATGATTTTATACAAGTATATGTGAATTTTCACTATATGTTGTATACAATTACGACTTGTTATTTTGGTGTAATGTTATATACTTATATGTTATTGTTCATATGTTATATGATATTTAATATAATTTATATATGTATGTATGGACAATATGATGCCTTTTTTTCATACATCCGGACTAAACATAATTAAAGCGGTCGGATTATTAACTCTTAACCCACTTATTCAACAGGATCTCCGGCTAAACGGGTTAACAGCTTGCTAATATGATATTCTGGTGGATTGCGAACAAGATGCCCGTCTGGGCATAAGAAAGACTGCAAAGTGCAAACGAAAGGAATTGCATGTCGCGCGCCTATATCATTTTGGAGCTGCACTTTTGAATTGCTCTCTTTCATTATGCCCTGTGCATACCATGCCTTATCATGCATTAAAAATGGTTTTGGTGGAGATTGATTAGTCAGAGAAATGATAAGAAAGAGAAAGTGGGTTGTTGGATTGGATGGAATAGAATGGGCTCCTTATTATATGTGTTCTGCTCTTGCTGCGATACAAAAATGAATAAATGCTACCCACGCCACTATTGAAGAGTATGCTTCTCATTTCATCCTTGGCTTATTTTATGTGCGTTATTCCAAGACCCAAGTGGTGTATATTAAGTCTCTTGCCTATTTGCAATTGCATTATATATATGCATGAGTTACATACCGTAACAAAAGAATGATACTTGGCAACATTCACTAACCATATGGTTTCAGCTCACCACACACCAAATGATGATGTGCAATGGTAGAGTTTTGATGCACAACATGGATGTCTAAGTAGTGATGGCAATTTGAACCCGTCCTGCGAGTATTATTCGACCTGAACCGCAATGGGGCGGGTATTATCCGATCCGCAGTAGCGTGGGGTGGGACATGGGTACCTACTTCCGACCTGCCTATCTCGCCCCGTTTTTTACCCATTTTATCTCAAATTTTATGGTGTTTATTCATATTTCTCCTATTTTAATATTTTTTTTATAATAACCTGATCAATTTATTAAGAGGTTCGAACCTCCTTATCCAAACAGTTTAGAAGGAAAACCGGAGGTCCGGAATCCCATATCTCCTTTTTTTTACTATTATAAAAATCTTCATTCACAAAAAAAAAGTTTCCCTATGTTTTATCGTAAAAAGTAAAATTTTATAGATTCTCTTTTACATATAAAATCATTTATTTTAACTTATCTCAATTATTGACAATGTATCAAACAAAGTAAATGGATGATCAATCTATTTTAGAAAGATAAAGTGTTATATAATTTTTAATACAATTTATAAAATCACAATTAAAGAACTAATTTTGAAAATAAAATCCAAACCAAACACCCAATGCATCTCAATTAGATAATCACCGCTATCCATCACAAAATGCTACAATTATCCAGTTGTTATCATAAAACAAATCGGTGAAAGGGGTGACGGCTGCTGCAAAGTGCAAAGGTTGAACAGGCGGAGGCGAGCGGGATATGGATTTCCTTATTTTCCTTTCTTGCCCTCCGTGAAAGCCAAAAAAGTAAGTTAGGTTGAGCATTCTCAATTTCAATATTATGTTGATGATAAACCAAAACAAACCATGGTCATCAATATCAACATCACTGATCGAGATAAAAGTTTTAAAAGAAAAAATATTAGAGGGTACATGTTTCTGCTAGCAAGATCGATGAGTTTCCATATTCTTATGAGTTTCAAAAGCAGGTGCAACACTAGTTTTCTTCTCCAACAACTACCAATAGAAGAAAAGGAAAAAAGGCATGGAAACATAAAACATTGGTTCTATTTTTTTATTTATGAAACTTATCCTCCAATTATTTTTTTATGAAACATTGGCTTTATTATTGGCACTTTGTTGACTAAGTTTCTAATAAAAACGGTAAATGAGCTAAAAGTAATTAGTATATTTAAAAATACAAAGGTAATGCAGTAGAGATATAATGCCATAGATATCCATGAATAATATTAATTAAAGTTAGAACTTAGGTACTGTCACTAGGGATGGCAATGGGTCGGGTTGGGTCGGGTTTTGCCAAACCCAAACCCAAACCCATGGGTTTCTCCTTGAAAAAAACCCGGGGTAAAACCCATTGGGTTTGAAAAACTCAAACCCAACCCAACCCGCTGGGTATCCGCGGGTTCATGGGTACCCACGGGTTTTTGTCGTAAAAATTTACAATAACAAGTTTCTATCAAAATTAAAGTCAAATATCAATCTCTCAATACAAATTATCCATATATAAAACACCATTCTAGAAAATTCAAGAAAATCACAAATTAACTATACAAAATTTTCAACACCAATTTAGAAAACTCAAGAAAATTGAAGCAAATCACAAATTATCCATAAATAATATGATTAATTGAAAGCTTCTTCCTTTCAATTAAGTTTTTTCACTCTCTACTCGATAACATCAACTTAATTCTACACAATTAGAAAGAAAAAATTAGACATGTCTCCACAAACATAAATAAGATTAGTTGCTTAGAATATCAAATATACCGAGAAAATTAATTATATAGGTGTGGGCGGGTACCCACGGGTCGGGTTTACCTAAACCCAAACCCAACCGGATGAATAGTGAACGGGTTTAAACCCAACCCGGCCCAAAACCCGTCAACACGGATTTTACCCGCGTTGACGGAGTTGGGTCGGGTGGGTACCCGTGGGTTCGGGTTTTGTTGCCATTCCTAACTGTCAGGGTTATACTACTTTGACATGTAGGTTATTATTGTTTTTCTCATAGCCACGTTTTATTGGTGGGTTGCTAATTATTATTTCTTTTTTTTGTTTTGGATAATTCATTCATGATGAGAGTTGGCAATGTTTTAGAGTTTTATTAAAATTAATATCGAAAAAAATTAGCATTAGAGTATTTTGTGCTAAAATCATAGTTGAATTGTGGTTAAAATCAGTCTTGACACGTCGTTCCAACTTGAGCCTCGATTTATGTTTAGGAAAAAAAAAACAAAAATTGTAAAACCATAATGAAGGTCGTACAGGTAAAGTTAACATTAAGGTATGTTGTGCTAAAATCGTGGTTAAATAAGCCTTAACACTTTGCTCCAACCCGAGCCTCGATGCATGTTCAGAAAACATAAAAAATTGTAAGATCATAACGAAGGTCTTACCAGAAAAATTAGCACTATGTCATTTTATGCTAAAATCACCTAGTGATTTAGATTCCGTTAGGAATTTTTCTATTGGACCGCCATTACGGTGCAATCGTAGTTCAACCGTGGTTAAATCTGGCTAGATACATTACTCCAACCCGAACATCGATTTATGTTCAGAAAAAACCTAAAATGGTACAACCATACCGAATGTCATACAAAAAAAGTTAGCATTAGGGTATTTTATGCTAAAATCGTAATTCAACCGTGGTTAAATCAGGCTTGGCACGTTGCTCCAACTTGAGCATCAATTTATGTACAGAAAAACCAAAAATTGTAAAATCATTCCTAAGGTCATACCGAAAAAGTTAGCATTAGAGTACTTTGTGCTAAAATCATAGTTCAACCGTGGTTAAAATCAAACTTGACAAGTTGCTCCAACCCAAGCCTCGATGTAAATAGAAAATCCAAAAATAATATAACCACACCAAAGGTCGTACCTGTAAAGTTAGCATTATGATATTTTGTGCTAAAATCATAGTTCAGTCGTAGTTAAATCAGACTTGACACGTTGCTTCAACCCGAGTCTTGATGTATATTCCAAAAATACCAAAAATTATAAAACATACCGATGGTCATACCAGGAAAGTTAGAATGAGGACATTTTGTGCTAAAATCGTAGTTCAACCATGGTTAAATCATTACATACAACAAAAATCACCTATCAAGTTAAATTCCGTTAGAGGTTTCTATTATACCGCTGCTAAACACGGTCAAAAATCAAATACAGGTTAGCAAACAATACTTCTAATTCTATTAAAAGCCGCAAAGAAGTGCGGCACATAATCTACCTAGTATAATGGAGAAATGGGCTCCATATGTAACGTCTTATGGCCAACTCTCAAATAATCAGAGGAACTAACCCCTCATACTAAGAATCCAATAACCTCCTTTTCAGGACAAGATGAAGAAAACAATTCACCAATACAAGAGAAAGAACACAAGTAGAGGACCAGCAAGCGAACAAACACCTAGTGTTTGAGTCCCGACGCCTTATCAACACACCCACGCTCCTTCTATCCGGCGCCTGCCTACACACACGAGCACAGAGGGGGCGCCTGGGCCCGTTAGCCCTCCGACGATCAAGTCAGTATCTTAGAGAGAGAAGTGCTTTTAGAGCTAGAGTTTTAGTGAGAGAGTCCAACCTGTGTAAATGCTACCAACTGCTCCTATTTATACTCACCGAACTCGAGGTGGATCTCCTCCATGTCACCGTCACAATAAATGCTCTGTACCTTCACTCTTGTCAGGAGCCTCAACCACCTTGTCAGGCTTCTGACGGTTGGCAGGCGCCCACAGACGGGGGACCACTTGCCAGCCTGGGCTTCCTTGGCCTTTAGTGCCCTGCCTCCACGCCTGTGTTACCTGGTTATGACATGGGCCTCGTGGGCTTTCTCTCCTGACCCGCCGCTTTGGGCTCCCGCTGATCGGATGAGCTCTTTCATGGGCCCTCTTTTGGGCTTCTTTTAGTGATACCCCCAACAATTCTCTTCCTTGGGCTTTCTTTTGGGCCCCTTTAGTAACACCCCCAACAATTGCCCCCCCCAGTTAGGTGTTCATGGTCTTTTGCCCTGAGCGCCTAACTTTTACCTCGACCGGGGCGCTTCTTATTAGCCCCCATCTCTCATGGGGTGCCAGTAGCCCTCAGCTTGCGGACGCCTGAGCCCTGGCGGTCTTTCAATCTTCGCCTCGCGCCGGGGCGCCCGCCCGTGCGAATATGCCCCCCTCTCGAAAGGCGCCCTATGCGTTGATTGCTCTTGGGCGCCTTCTTCGTGGTTGTTCTTGGGCGCCTTCTTGGTGCCTGGGCGTGAACGCCCGAGGAGGGCGCCTGGGTGCCCCCCTCACGGGCGGGAATTTGAGCCTTGATTTTTGGGATATTCCTTTTAAATTCCAACTCCAAATTTTGAAAACCATAATTTGAAATTCGAAATGGGGGAAGCTCAAAGGACCGCCCGCGACTAGGTGACACGTGTCAGTTGGCGCAATCTCCGATACGCGCCCTTCCTTCCTTTAAATATCCCTTCCTCCCCATTCCTTGTCATTTTCCTCATTTCGCTCTCTCTCTTCACTTTTGCTCTGCCTTCTCTCTAGACTTGCTCCGCCTTCTCTCTAAGATTCGACCCGCAGTTCGCGCCGGCCCTTTTTTTCCACCTCGTCATCCAATGGCCTCTCCACAAGGACGAACTTCCGACGCGGGTGCCTCCCCTGGTCGATCCTCCAACGCGGGCACCTCCCCCAATCGTTCTCCCGATGCGGGCGCCTACCCCGATCGCTCCGCTGGTCAAGAAGCGGGCGCCACGTCGGCTCGCCCGTCACAATCTGGCGCGGGCGTAACTCTTCGTCCCTCTATCTCTGGTAAGCGCCCTGTCCTGGAATTCTAACTGTTTTTGTAGGTTTTAGGCGTGAGTGAGATTCTTACTTCGACTCGGCATTGTACGTCTGGTTCATTCTTGGTTTAGAGAGGGCGCCCGAGTCTGCGGGAGGAGCAAGCGCCTCCACTCTGGGTTACGTGCCAACCGACGGTTCTTATAAGATTACTACTTGGGAAAAGATGTTTCCCCCTGATCATTTGCCCACTGATACCACCGGCCTTTCGTTCGAGGAGGCTGGCCCGGAGCATCAATCGACCGTGACCCTGGCGCGGGTTCACGAGTTAGTGACGAGTCTTCAGCTCCCTCGCGAATGGTGGTACGCGCCTCCGTCGGCCATCTCTAGGGTTGGTGTGTGTGGGCCAAAGTGGATAGGGGTCTATCAGGAATATTTTAGGTTTGGGTTGCGATTTCCCATAGACCCCATCCTGGAAGGGATCTTGACGATGTGCCAATGCCCGTTGGGGCGCTTGTCGCCCTCAGTGATGGTGGTGGTGACGCTGTTTAAGTTGAAGTGTCAGGTGCACAACGTGAGGCCACCTTCAATCTTTTCAGGTGGTTTTTTATCGTGGCACCACTGGACAATTGTCTCTCTCTACAGAAGCGTACCAAGCGCCCATATCATTTCGTCGTTAGGTGCCCCAAGCTGGGGTGTAGTTGGTTTAACGGGTTTTTCTTCGTGAAAGCCTACCAAGATTCTTTCTTCGAAAGCGGGGGCGCCTTCGTGAGGCACTGGGCGCTAGGCAGCACTAAGGGCTTCAACTCAGCGGTCCAACTTTCGTCCGACGAGACTCGGGGCGCCCAGCTTATTAGCACGCACCCGATTAACCTTCGCATAACTTCGAATCGAATTAGCGTTTTGGAGGAGTACTACAATGATGGTGTGTGGGCGCCCTTTTGTAGTTACCTTGTCTTCCCCTTTGCATTGTTTGTGTTAACCTTTTATTTTGGTATGTGCAGGATCGGACTTTAGCTCCATCGGGAAGCTAATCAAGAGTCGGATGGCGATGATGGCGGCCGGGGCGCCTTCCGCTGCTGCCCGTACACAGGCGCCCACACCTCCAGTCTCTTGACGACTTTGGCACGAAGACCACATTCGACAACCAAGTAACATAAGCAGTTTCTTCGACCAAGTTGGCGCCCAGGAGCTTGTCCACTTCGACCCTAAGCGTCGCCTCCTTCTCTGGTGATAGGTTCCTGCGCTTTTGTTGCACTGGGCGTCTGCCTTCTTCGACTGCCAACTTATGAATGGCCGTTTCGGGCGCGACGCCCGGCATTTCCAGAGCACTCCACGCGAAAAGCTCCGCGAATTCCTTCAGGAGGGCGATGAGGCGTTCTTTCTCTTCGTCTGGCGCCTCTGTAGATATCCTCACCTGCCTTTTCGGGCGCCTTTCGTCTAATGCTACTAAAATTTCTTCGTCGCCGGCTTCAGCTCGGGGCACCTCTTCTGCCACGGTCTCCATCACATTGACTCTTGCATCGGTACACCTTCGTTTCCGTCCTAGTTCCTTCGCGTAACGCGGGGCGCCTCATCCCTGGGCTACGCCTACTCCTTGTGGGGCAATGAACTTCAAGGTTTGATGACAAGTAGAGGCCACCCCGTTCAATAAGGCCAATAGAGGTCTTCCCAGGATTGCATTGACACGACCAGATCCTTTTTGAAAACCAAACCACAACTCAAACCACAAACCGGTTACTCCGGAGCAACCCAAAACGTTTTACAAGTCAAAACCAAAAAAAATCAACAACCACAATGCTTAAGATTTTCAAGTGAAATGCCCTAAACACTTGGGCGACCTCAATCCAGAGCAACAAAACATAAAACACAACCCTTGAGTTTCCCAGTATACTCATTAAGACATGAAACTAAGGACAAATATAATGGGAGGTCTCATCTCGTTACCCATATCCAGTTGACATCTTGAGGTTAGCCGCGACTGCTCTCCTCATATAATCTCCTCTTGATGGATGGGTCCTCTTCCCCTCTATGCACCTGGTGAGTGAGAAGGGGTCAGTCTCGTCGTTACTCCCTAAGGTCTTTGCCCTAGGCCCACTCCTTACTAAACACGTTATTAGGGGAATGCCTTCCTAGCATGAAAGCCGCTCTCGCTTTCTGCTCTTAAATAACCATTCTTATCAACTCATTTCAACATTGACTCATAAAATTTCTCGACCTCTATCCTTATCTCAACACAAAACACTAGGACCACCGCGTTACGTCTCGCCGTCCGGTGTCCTACCCTAGTATGCCAACCGCGTTACGTCTCGCCGTCCGGTTGCATACCCAAACTCGGCAATGGCACTGCGTTACGTCTCGTCGTCCAGTCCATGCCCGTCAACTACTGCGTTACGTCTCACCGTCCAGTAGTGACCCCAACATACTCGATCAACTGCTGCGTTACGTCTCGCCGTCCAGCAGTGACCCGACCATCTACCGCGTCCAGTAGTGGCCCAACCGCCCGGGGGTTCGTCTTACCATCAACCAACTATTACAATCATACATACATACATTCATACATAGCACAACGCGTGCCTCCACCCTTACAGGCGGTGGGCTGCCTCACATACATATCGCGCATTACTCAAAAATTAGCTAATTAATAACTTGAACGAAAAGCATAAACTAAAAAGACCTACTACAGAGATTTTACCCCCTTTACACTCACCTCGAAAAGATGACTCATCAATTCCTTCCTCGAAGAAACCCCTCCTTAGCCGGATTATCTTGGGGAAACCTATTAATAAGAATCCATTTTCTTAGACGACCTTTCTTGATTAAACCCCTTTTGAATCACTAGAATATCCTCTCCTCAAGTCAGTCCTTGAACCTCATTCCAAGGTCCATTAACCTCCCACTAAAATTTTCTAGAATTAATCCCTTCAAAAACGACCATTTTTCTTAATTATATTAGTCTTGGACGAATTTTCCACCTAACTAGAACCTTCTTAAACATTCGGATAATAATTTTTCCATGTCAATCATGAGCCCCTATACCCTGGAAAATTATCAAACCCTTAAAAACCCCTCGGAAAGATTTTTATTTAATTAAAACAAATATTCAAATAATTTCTAAAAATAGAAATACATCTTCAAAAATTCCTAAATTAAATTATAATAATCTCCTAAACGTCGCTCAATTTATAAAATTGTTAGATCCAGAAAACAACCTTCAGAGAGACACGAAACAATTTAAAACATCCAAAAATATGTTTCTGGAAATCCCCAGCAGCTTTAGTGACAAATCAAAATCTGTCACTAAAATCCTGTTGCTAAAACCCCATAATTGTACCCTCACGAAAAATCACCAAATCGATTGATCTAACTCAAAGGGATCAAGTTCCCTTACCTCTAGAACGTGCCTAGGCCTAGGTTGGATGACCCGGGACGTTGATGTCCTTGTTGATCGAACCCTCAACGTCATCGCTAATAAAAAAACGAGCTTCGAATTAGACTATCGATAAATCGAGTTTAAAATCACGAAGGGGTTCGTGATCCTTACCTAGAAACACGAAAGGGATGGGATTCAGATTGGGATCAGGATCGGAATCGGGTCCGGGATGGGGAGCTGGCGCTCCCTTTCTTTTCTTCTTCTCGCCGCGAGACGAGGGAGGTGCTGGGAAGGGGATGGCGGCGGAATTAAATGGAAGGGAGGGGGAGGGGGATTATTAGGTTGTCTGGGGAGGCGCCTCCTCCCTTTTGATAATCACGATAGTTTTTTTATGGTTTTATAATAATAATATAATAATTATTATTATAATATTATTATTATTATATTATTATTCTTAATCTGCGATCGTAACTCTTAGTATGTAACCGTCGATCCAACCGATCACGTATTAAAGTCGAACCTAACTCTAAAATACCGGGGTGTTACATTTCCTCCACCCTTACAAAAATTTCGTCCCCGAAATTTAGAACTGGAAAGATAAATACTTGGTCTAAAACTTTTGGTGTTTGACTAAAACTTCTCAAACTAGAATATAACATGCATTGTATGGCGACGGACAGTCTACTATTCCGAAGTCAATGGCGCGCGTCACCCTTTGCTCCCCGTCGACCAAGGTAACAGGCAGGCGCACTCGCCCTATCACCCTGGCGGGCGCCCCCGAAAAGCCGACTAGTACTGACTGCGATGGCCTGATTAATTCCGACGATAGTTGCATGCGGGCCACTGTGTCCTTGAATAACACGTCCATTGAACTTCCCGTGTCGACAAGCATCATTCTCACTTTGCATCCTGCCACCACTCATTGTATTTCCAGGGCGTCCATGGACGGGAGCATGCATGCTTCCTCTGGCGCCCTATTGAAACTGATATCGATCGCCTCCTGCATATCGGCAGAGGCCGCTCTCAACCGGCGATTTGCTTCTATCTTTTTCCTGAAGTCCATCGTCCCCGAAATGGCTTCGATGGTAAGGCGTACCCTCTTGGGAGCCTTCTCCTGGTCGAGGTCATAGGGTGGGGGTGGCAGCTCTTCCTTCGCTTTCTCTATGCCGGCCACACACGCCCGATGCACTCTCTCTTCGGGCTTCTTGACGAAGTCATTATGCATCCCACTATCTGCCAGGCCCTGCAGCTCGGTCTTCAATTGGTAACAGTCGGCTGTGTGGTGCCCTATCTCCCGATGAAAATCACAATATCGGTCCAAGTTCCGCTCATTGGGTTGTCCCCTCATGGGGCCTGACCATCTGATGTGATATCCCTTTCCTTGACATGCTGGAGTATGTTCTTCAACGTGTCATTATATTCAGCAAAGGCTCCCGCCCCTCTGGGAGTCGGGCGCCCCGCATCGATTCTCCTTGGTGGGGGGTGGTTCATGGGTGGTGCATATCCCGAACCATTCGGGGGGTGTGGCCGCCTCGTCATCTCAACTTCTTCCCCCCTCGTCTTCCGTCTATCTGCCCTTCTGGCCGCCAAGGTTTCTTCGAGCATGATTATCTTTTGCACTCGCGATCCAAGTCTTCCGTGGACACCATGTCTCTCTTGGCAAGCGCCCTGCATAGCTCCTCG